TTGTTTTTTATTAAGAAATATTTTATTTTATTATTTTATAGATATTTAAATTTAAAAATAATAATCAATAACTAATTATTAACTACTTATGCCATGTAGCTTTTTTTAGGCTGCCACGTAGCTTAAGTAGAAGACTTTTTCCTCTCCTTTTAATATATAAATATAGGTTTCTCCTTTTCTTTTTCTTTTTCTTTTTGCCTTTTTTAAACTTTTACAAGAAGAGAGGGACCTACAACTTTAGCTTGTTTGAGTCAAGAGATTATAACAAGAATCGGATTCGGAGAAATACTTTCTTTTCACCTTTTTAATAGATAGATTAATTTTAAAGCGAATGAAAAGAAAAAATAAAACAAAAATATTTTTCATATTTTCTTTGGGTAAGTGATCGGCACAGACAAACTAATGTGGATATTTTTAATCGTATGTCTGTAATTTGAATTCTCACCAAATTATGATGGTCACGTGTGGATTCAAGCATCAATTGTATCAAATCTCAAAATGTTCTACCTAATTCCATCCATTCAAGTGACCAAGTGGTTCTACTATTTTAGTACAAAAATCATATCCCTCACTAATCATATTCCTTGAATTTCACATGTTATAGTATCAAAGTTTGAATAATTATGGTAGAAATTTGACCAAATTATTCTAGATCCTCAAGTTTGCCATGGCATTTTTGAATAGTCTTACTAAAATTCCCACGTATATATAAAAATATATATTTTGGCATGAATTACTTAAGTAGTATAATAATTATTGGGTAAATCAAAATATGTGAAGCCTAAAATTATTTTGATGAAGAAAATGCATTTCAATCCAATTTAACTATGAAGATTCGGATGTTAAAAGATTACAATATCTCGGACTTTTGGAGTTAACGATCCGACCGGTCATTTTGAGCATTTACACTTTGCTCGGTAGTTTGAGGGCACGAGTATCTCCACATGATGTATTATGACTTGTGTGAATCATCGATTTTGGTTTTCAGGTTATTCGGAATCGATTTGGAAGAATGAATTTCATTGTTGAAGCTTTAAGTTGGAAGAGTTGACCAAGTTTGACTTTTGTGAATTTGACCCCGGAACGGAGTTTTGATAGTTCCGTTAGGTCCGAATGGTAATTTTGGACTCGGGCATATGCCCGAATTTGAAATTGGATATTTCTAGAAGGATTCGACACTAATTGGCGAAAGTTGGAAATTTGAAGGCTTGGAAAGTTCATAAGCTTGACCGGAAGTTGACTTTGAGGATATCGGATTCGGATTGTTGTTCCAGGAATTGGACTAGCTTCGTTATGTCATTTGGGACTTGAGTGCAAAATTTGGGTTCATTCCGAGTTGATTTGATATGTTTCGACGCGAGTTTTTGGAAGTCGAAAGTTCATTAAGTTTGATTTGAGGTGTGATTCGTCATTTCGATGTTGTTATGCGTGATTTGAGGCCTCGAGTAGGTCTGTGTTATGTTATGGTACTTGTTGGTATGTTTGGACGGGGTCCCGAGGGTCTCAAGTGAGTTTCGGATAGGTTTGGGTTGTGTTGCGTTCGTTTTTTTATGTTTCGACGTCGTTTCTTCAAGCATAAATGGTACCACATTAAGCAAATGAGCTCCAATTTCTGTGTTTTATTGAAGTATTAGATCCGTATCGTAAGTACGGTATCATATAAAAAAAAATCGTCGAATTTGGACATCATATGAGGAGTTTATAGTCATTTTACTAAGAATTGAGTTGCCAGATTTTTTAGATTAATTACGAAATAGCAACTGACTTCGTATTTAAAAATCTGCACTATTTTCAAATATCGAAACCAACATATCTCCTTCATTATAAGGCCAAATGGAATGATTCAAAAGTCTTAATTGACTTAAATTTCACAAGGAATCCATTGGAGGCATCAAAAGTGGGTTACGGGATTGTTTGGCACACGAAACGAGGCAGAACAACTGGGCAAAAATATTTAATATCGAGGGTTTGTTCATTTGGTTATAGTTTGAGTTGGGGAGCTCGGATTTGTGAAATTTTTGAAGCCATTTTCACCATATGAATTGGGGTAAGTGTTCTCTACACGGTTTTCGTTATATCTCATGCATCTATCTTCGTTTTTGAGAATTAGGTTGTGAATTTTAAAGAAAAAATTGGAGGTTTTGTCCAAAGTTTCATAGAGTGCATTTTTGAGTCTTGAACATCGATTCAGAGTCGGATTTGGGTGAAACTAGTATGGTTGGACTCGTAATTGAATGGGTTGTCGGATTTTGTGAGTTTTGTCGGGTTCCGGCAGCGGGCCCGGGTTTGACTTTTTGGTCGATTTTGGGATTTTGATTAAATATTCGATCTTTATTGATTGTGTTTGTTTCCTTTGGCATTATTTGATATATGTGAGTTGCTTTTGGCTAGTTTCGAGCCGTTCGGAGGTCGGTACGCGTGTGATGGCATATTTGGAGCATCGTTTGGCTTGCTCGGTATTGGATTTGGCTTGTTCGAGGTAAGTAACACTTCTAAACTTGGTGCTGAGGGTATGAACCCTGAATATACGTATTATGTGTTCGGTGTTGAGGTGACGCACATGCTAGGTGACAGGCGTGTGGGCGTGCACCGTGTGAATTGTGACTCCACTATTTCCGTGGTACTGTGTAGTTTCCTAATCTTATCTGCAACCATGAAATCTCTACGTACTAGAGCTATTGAGCGGAGATCCATGTTAGAAACCATGTCTAGGCTACATGCTTATTCTGTTGGGACCCACTGAGGTCATTTCTGTTATTGAGTTATTTTCTTACATTGCAATTACGTACTCAGTCGTACTCATTCATATGCATATCATATCTAAATCTCTGTTACCATTTATTGATACATCACATCACTATTTTTGGCCTGATTTTTCATGACATTGTGAGCCCGAGAGACAAGAGAGATTGATGACTGAGTGAGGCCGAGGGCCTGATTGTGAGGATTTTGATGGGATCGGGCTGCACGCCGCAACAAGTATTATTGATTTATGATGGGAGCGAGCTGCACGCCGCACCAGATGTTATTGATTTATGCCATGATTGGCTTATTATAGCGCTTGGGCTGAAGGAGCCCCTCCGGAGTCTATACACACCCCTAGCGAGCGCAGGTACCTACTGAGTGCGAGTGCCGAATGATTGGGAGGATTGAGTGACTGTGAGGACTGAGTAGCTGTGAGGACTGAGTGACTGTGAGGATTGAGTGATTGGGAGTACTGAGTGCATTGATACACCGAGAGTATGTATATGGTTTTATCACTGCATTGTATTACAGTTGGCATGCATATATTGACATGTAGGCATAGAGATGTATTTTTCTCATGCCATTTGTTAATGAAACATCTTATATGTTGTTGAAAAATTTTGGGAAAAATCACAGTTTTACAATCCTACTCATATTTTGGTGATTTCGGTATAAGAATTGGATTTTCACTGATATACTTGAAAAGCATGCCTATTTTTCCGGAACCGTGAACGAGTTGAGCATCGTATATCTGAGTATGTTTCTTGTACCATTATTATTATTATTATTATTTTGTTACGAACTGTTGTTGGCTATTGGTGTTGGACTCTGACCTCTGTCCTAGCTTGTCACTACTTTCAACCTAACATTAGATTTGTTACTTATTGAGTACATGGGGTCGGTTGTACTCATGCTACACTTCTGCACCTTGCGTGCAGATTTAGATGCTGACGTTGTTGTGTATAACGAGAGCTCTCATTGAAGGCGTACCTGCATTTCGGTTATAGCTGCCTCTTGTTCATGGTAGCTCTAGACTTATGAAAAATCTGTTTATGTATAATTCGGACAGATGATGTATTTATTTTACACTAGCTTTGTAAACTCTAAATCTTAGAAGCTCATGATTTGTACTACCCGTCCTTGGAAAATTCTTGTATAAAAGCAATTGTATTATCTCTTCTTTTCTTGATAAATCTCATTAACTTGAATAGTTGTTAATTGACTTACCTAACAGATTGACTTATATGCCATCACGATTAGTTAGATTTTGGGTCGTGACACGAAGCTTATGTGATAGGTTCATTGTCTTTCTCGGTTGAGGTGGAAGGTTCAAAACCTATTAGTAACATAACATTCCCCTTCCCTTTCCCCCTCCCCTAATATAATAATTTTTAAAGTGCTTGATTAATAAAGGAAAACCTTTATTATTCCATTCATTACATTTTATATGATACTATTACTACTTGGTGAGTATTATAACTCTTGTGACTTACAGTATTTTTTAAATAGTTTTAAATTAGTAAACTTATTTCAAAATATTTAAAAATTTATGTCTGGACTCACACCAAAAATTAAGTAGCATGACTCTCGTACTCTAAATCTCCTACTTCAATTGTTTTCTCTGAAATACAAGAATCTTTTCTTTTTGTGCTAATGTGATACAAGAGTCAAGACCATTCAAAAGAAGGAAAAAACAAGGAAAATATCATATGTATAAGTGAGAGGGAATGATTCATACTACTGCTTCCATGTGACTTCCAATAATGTATAATTCACAAGTTTGAATATCTCTGGACTAGAATGTTCATTTTCTACTTTTCACTTCTAAAATTTTAAGAATCTATTAAACTACAACGACTAAATTAATTAATTAAATATATACCAACGTATTGTTTTATTATTCCAATCCCATGAATCTTCATAATTTAATATCCAGCACAATAATATTCTACACACTATAAATAGGCATGCAGCTCAGTGAGAGTGTTTTGAATTATAACAGCATGGAGAATAACATAGTACACAAATTCTCTCGTTTGTTCCCTTCCTCTTTCTCTTCTTGTCAGTTCCGAAATCTATCCGATGTTGTTGAAAACTCTATTGTTATCTCCAAAACCTCCAACAATCATGTTCTTGGAGCTTCATCTAGAACCCAATCTTCAATCAAAACTCAAGAATCCAAATCAAACAAAAATCATTTGAAAGTTCCAAAATGTTATAATAAAACCCATAGACCCAATAAAGAGTCAAATGTTATGAAAAGTTCTTCATCAAATAGTGGCTGGTTTAGTAGTGAAGGTGGAGATGAATTTAGTGGCGAAACAGAAGATGCTTTTTTCAGTTTGTCTTCTGGTTATTTTTCCGACTCTTTTCGCCGTAAAACAGCTAGTAAAAGATACAATCAAAAGAGTTGGGAAATGAGTCGTTGCTCTTCTGAATTATCAACGAATTCTATTTCAACAGCAACGAGCGAAAAGAAGGTAAATCGACGAGTTGGGTCAAACTTGAGCGAGTCAAAATGGGTCAAATCAATAAACCGGCTTGAGTTTCCCACCTCGAAAACAGAACAAAACAGAGGGAAAATCAGACAGACAAGATCCGGCGGAAGAACACGCCGGAAAACCAGCCCGGTGGAGAAGTTTGATTATTACAGTGACTCGACTAGTGATAATACTCGTCGGAAAACTACCAAGTGTCGCCGGAAAACAGGGAGGAACCACCGGAAAATCAAGAAGATGAGTATAATTAGCTCTGATAAAATTGGTCAGTTTTCAATTGTTATTGACGGGAGAAATGAAGAGAGCATTGCAGTGGAGAAGAATACAAGTGATCCATACAATGATTTCAGGACATCAATGGTGGAAATGATAGTAGAGAAACAAATCTTTGGAGTTGACGATCTTCAAAGGCTTTTGCATTGTTTTCTATCACTGAATTCACCATCTTACCATAAGATTATTTTTGACGTTTTCTCAGAGATTTGTGAAACTTTATTCACTAACTGGTAGTACTTAGTATTAAGTTAGGTTTAGTTTGAATAATATTTCTAGGTTATGATAACTTGTTGTAAGAACTAATTATGCTACTGCTAATTACCAGATGCTATGTATCCATCTTTATTTTATCCTATATATAGTATCAGATTACCTGCTTTTGCGTAAATGCTTGTATGTACATATGTACATTCTTTTTCCTTCCTTTTCTAACGTTGTTTTTGAAATTCTAGTAATGACTTTTTATTTTGTCTTTCTTTACTTTTTAGTTTCTTTGTGACACAAGTCTATACGATAACTGTTTCAAACTTTAGTTAATACTTTAAATAAAATTGAAATATTTTAATAAGATAAGAAAATGCTATTACATAAATTCCAGAAGAATAATAGGATGATAAAAGAATAAGTAATACGATTCCTAAAGTGTTTTTTTGACAATAAACTTCACAACAAGGCATTAGGTGGTATCATGTAGGTTTGTCGGTGCTACTCATATCTCCACCCATCATCGCCACCTTAACAAACTTGATAACGAAAGCACCACAGTCAGTACTAAATAAGCCTGAAGATTGAGTTAAGCAAAATCGTTTGTTAATAAGCTTTTTTTTTTATTAATACCAGTATATGTCTTTATAATTTTCTTTGGAAACTTATGACCAAAATCTAAACTAGTCTTTCTTCTTTTCCTGCACTACTATCATAATTGCTTCTAACCTTAAGTAATGAATTGAAACTGTCACGACCCAATTCCTACTATAAGTTGTGATGGTAACCAACGTCGCCGTTATGCATTAAAAGTCATGAATACATATGTATGAGTCAAAATTAGACCAGAGAAATTCGGCACGCGAAGACATAAGGCCAAGGTCGGACAGGCCAAGGTCGGACCGTCACCAGTAAAGCTGAGGTCGGACCGTCATCAATAAAGCCGAGGTCGGATAGTGATGAAACAACTAGTCTGCTTTGGAATCCTCAAAAGGAATATTCTACCGAATATTCCCTCTAATTGTACCTTTTCTTTTAATGTTTTTCTAGGAATACCCCTTATAAATAGGAAGGGAGGACTTCCCAAGAGAGAGGCGGGCTCTTTCCCTCTACCTCTCCCACTTTCTAGAAAATATGTAAACACATCTGTCAAAAGAGAGAAGAGGATCTGGGTCTTGTATTTTATCGATCATTCATCTTTATCAAATGAAAGAAGAGCCGACTCACCCAACATCGGGTGAATCTTCTCCTTTATCTATATTTTGTCGCCATTAAATGTTATTCAATGCATCTTTCTTTATGCTATTAAATCTGGCTATAATCATGCCCAATATTTATACTCGGCTATGTTTTTCTACTCGTATTATTCGTCTCGGATCTAGAGTTAATTATCTTTAACTAGGATTTACTCCTTCATCTTGATTGATTTGCTCAAAGGGTTTAGACAACTTTTGAGCCAAACAATTTGGCGCTGTCTGTGGGAATTTTCTAGTTAAAATTATAGTTCTCTCTAGATCTAAAATTCAATCCTAGCGAGTTCTTGTGTAGCTTCTACAGCACATACATTTACCAAAACTTTTGCTTGCTAATGACCAATAAAATCTTCATGCATCACATGTCAAAGCTTTCTGAAAAAAAATCCTATACCCAAACCCAAGCATAAAGTGAAGTCTATATTTCTCTCTCTGCCTTTTGTTGTTTGCAATAAGAAAGAAGCAGAATCTATGCTTTTGATCAAGTCCATGGCGGACAAGGAAAAAAGCACAAACAACTGGTTTATCCGCACTTTGTCACACAAAATTGATGGGAACCCGACTTCCTATTGGGGTTTCTCAGCTCTGAGGAAGTAAACAGAGTACTGACTTCTGGATTTCGTTTTGGGCATATATACATACACCCTTGTAGTTGCTAGGGCTGTTGTTCACACATTTTGCACTTCGATTTTTGTGTCCAAGCACGTCCGCTTGAACCTGTGCTCGATAAGATGGATTGTGAATTCTCTGTGCATGCATCAAACGAATAAGTTCATGCCATATGTCTTCTGCATAAGATTCCGGCGAATAATTATTCTTTATCAAGCATCTTTGATATGCCGACATGTGAATCTGAAAAGGGTTCTTCTTTAAGTTTAATAGAAACCATGTTTTCTTCTCACCCAATTACTACCCCTTCTATATTCAATTTGCTTCAAACTCCATCACCACCTGTACCTTTATCGGTTCCATCGCAAATAGTCAATAAGATTCCGTCGTCCGAGATTGTAAATACTCCTAATTCGTCCTCCATTTCTTCATCATCAACTGAAGCTGCTGCCAATGATGATCAACTACAGCCCGCCTCTCAAACAGTAGATGATGATGATCAACACAAGAATAAGAAACGGTGATGAATTTGGGAGAGGCTCGACTTTGCTTCAGCGTCACCCCTTCCTGCTAATTGTGCTTGCCCTCCAAGCATTTCTTTGCCCTAGATCAAACTGAGGTAACAAATGCTGTTATTTTGTTTCAACTAACTATTTCTCTAAGTGGAATAGAAGCAGGAGAAATCACCAAGGAAATGCGTCGTATTCTCCAATACAAGAAAAATTAAACAAACTGGGACTCCCCCAGGAAATACATCATATTCTCCAATGCAAGCAAAGTTAAGCAAACTGGGACTCAGGCTATGCGCCTTCGCCATTAAGTCAAGGCTATGCGCCTTCGCCAGTAAGTTCAACTACAGTTGAACCAAGACTCAGGCTATGCGCCTTCGTCATTAAATCAAGGCTATGCGCCTTCGCCAAGAAGTTCAACTACGGTTAAACCAAGACTCAGGCTATGCGCCTTCGCCATTAAATCAAGGCTATGCGCCTTCGCCAGTAAGTTCAACTACGGTTGAACCAAGACTCAGGCTATGCGCCTTCGCCATCAAATTACAAGGCTATGCGCCTTCGCCAAGAAGTTCAACTACGGTTGAACCAAGACTCAGGCTATGCGCCTTCGCCATTAAATCAAGGCTATGCGCCTTCGCCAGTAAGTTCAACTACGGTTGAACCAAGACTCAGGCTATGGGCCTTCGCCATTAAATCAAGGCTATGCGCATTCGCCAAGAAGTTCAACTACGATTGAAGCAAGACTCAGGCTATGCGCCTTCGCCATTAAATCAAGGCTATGCGCCTTCGCCAGTAAGTTCAACTACGGTTGAACCAAGACTCAGGCTATGCGCCTTCGTCATTAAATCAAGGCTATGCGCCTTCGCCAAGAAGTTCAACTACGGTTAAACCAA